TGGAATTTACACCTATGTTTCCTATTTATTTCACTTTAGTATATGGCTTCAAAGTGAATCAATTTAAGTATAAATGACTCTAGTTTATCTTTCTTTATGGCTGAGCAGTACTCCATTTTATTTAAAAACACATCTTCTTCATCCAATCACCAGTTGATGGGCATTTGAGTTATTTCTAAGATTTAGCTGTTACAAACTGTGCCACTATAAATATGAATGTACATTCATGGCTGTGGTATGATGCTTTTAATTCTTTTGGGAACATACCAAGAAGGGGGATAGCTGGGTCAAATGGGAACTCTAGTTTAAGTTTTTCAAGGAATCTCCACAATTTCCACAGTGGTTGCAGCAGTCTACAATCCCACCATTAAGGTAGAAGGAATCCTTTTCCTGCACAAATTTTGGGCATCTGATTTTTTTTTAGTTCTTTATATGTCCTACATAGTAGTCCTTTTTCTGAGGAAGAGCTGATGAAGTTCTTTTTCCCACTTTGTGGGTTGTCTTTTATCTCTGTTGGTAGTTTCTCTTACTGTTCATAAGCATTTTATAAGATGGGATCCCAGATGTTGATTCTTCATGTGAGTTCATGTGTGACTGAGGTTTTGTTCATGAAATCATTTCCTAAACCAATGTCTTCGAGAGTTCTACTTAACCTATCATCCAGCAGAGTCAGTGTTTCTGTTTTAATATTTAGATCTTTGATCCATTTCAATTTTAGTTTAGAACATGGTGAGAGACATGGGTCTAGTTTTAATTTTTGGCAAGTTGGAACAGTTTTTTTTTTCAGCACTGTTTATTAAAAAGGCTATCTTTACTCCAGTGAAGATGGTTGGCTCCTTGTCAAAGGGGAGGTGATTGAGTGTATCTGGAAAGAAACAATAATCCATGTGAACAGAACTCAGAAAAAAGCAGAAGTAGACATTCTGTTTGCAGACAAAGTGAATTTCAAGCCAAAACTAATTAAGAGAGATGAGAAGGTCACTATATCTAGTAAAAGTACCAACACACGAGGAAGAGATGATAATCATAAATATCCATGCACCAAATATCAGTGCACCTAACTATATAAAACAAATGCTGATGGGCATGAAAAGGCAAATGAGCACTAATAAAAGTGTAGTGAGGTCTGTCAGACGCCCAGGGCCAACACTGGCCAGCCTTGGTCAGCAGGAAAATCTCCATCTGGGCCTGGAGGGACAGTCACAGGGAGAGGACAAGGGAAAGCAGAGTGTGATGTTCCTGACCTCCACAGAGGGTGGAAGAAGGCAGAGCCCTGATTTCTCAAGGGTGGGCAATGGTGAGGTGGGAAGAGGCCAAGCAGGCAAAGGTCAGTCACAGAAGTGAGGGAATCAGGCTAAAATGTGGCTTCAAAGAGCACTGGAAGATGTTCAGAAAGTGCTCATTTTTGCATTTCTGAAATGCTGTTATTTTAGGAACGTGAAAGCTTTTAGCATTAAGAGAAGTCTACTGGATTACTTTTCTCATTGCTAAGACAAGACACTTGACACCCAAAGTGAAAGGGGGGTTACTTGGCAGAGCTTTCAGTCCATTGTTGTCTGGGCCCAAGGCAGCATGGCATGGGGGCTGCAGTTCACAGCAGACAGACAATAGCCAAGAAACAAGAGTCCTTAGCAGCATCTCCCAGCCCCTTTGATCTTGTTCAGACTACTCAGGGCAGGTAGCACTCACACCTGTAATTCCAGGGCCCTCAGGCCTAGCACTGCACTATGAATCAATCACATACTCTAGATCCAGTGGCCTCTGAGAAAGACCATGTGAGGCTCTGGGGGACACCTCGTACGGTGAGCACCGTGGACTTACTGAGAGGGGCTAGGCAGGCTGCATGAAGCCCGAGGACCCAGGTGAACCATTGGAATCGTAATCACACACAGATTTCTGTAAGCTCACCTCAACTTATGTGTATGTCAGCCTCAATATTTGATAAGACATCCTAGAAAAGAGGTAAAAGTATTAACTCAGTTGAGAAGGCAGGTAGATGGGAATAGCTCACTTTACAATTAAGCTTTCCTTTTTAATCTTAACCTTTTCTTTTTAATTTGTGAATATTGAGCTTTATGATCAACACTACTTTAAAAAAAAAGTAAAAAAAAAAAAAATTCAGGCAGCCATCTTTTGCAACTGTCGGCTTGGAAAGCATGGCCCAGACAGCACCGCTAACTAGCTCAAGGGAGCTAAGTAGAGAGCTTCCAAAGAGGGCAAGGCTCTCTGTAACCACACCCAGGGATGGGGCCCCTGGGGAGGCAGGGGTTTATGTCCGGGGCTCTGTGACTGGCAGGGCTCTGAGTTGCAGGGCCTGTGGATCTAGCGGCTGCCTTAGAATCTCCTCTATTAGACACAGGTGGAAGCATTGCACGGGAGGAGGCCCAGTCCAAGAGAGTGCCGGTTCCCAGGGAAGGAAGGCCCCAGGGTCTGCGTGGGGATCCGCTCCTAGACTGCACCAGTGAGTGTGGCCAGTGTGATGGCCTCTCCTTGTCTCGAAATCTGACTGTGTTGAGGAAAAGTATGAGATAATACGTTTTAGAAAAGGAATGCACAGTACAGACTTACAGAGCAAAATGTTCCTTAGCCTGAGTGTTGACATACTGTATATCTCTTTTAGATTCATCATAGTGTATGTGCTTTTGACAACACGCTAAGATTGTCACCCCCACCCAAACCCTGTGTTCTTTCTGCAAAAGAGTGGTAGAGAAAAAGAGACAAAATCTTAATGACTGTGATTTTACTTTATTTAAATGCTTTTTCAACCTTTATTATAAATGTTAGTATCTTCTACTGGTTAGATAAGCACCTCAAGATGATTTTATAGGAACAACTATGTGTAATTGGCTTTGATCCTCTCCTGTAAGTCAGACATGAAAATTTACATGTAAAAACACCTGTACGTTCCATCTGGTGCATTCATGGCAAACCTTTCAGAGACTCATGCCTAGATGACAACCCAATGCTCACTAATGTATTGCAAAGCACCAACACTGCAATTAAACCTCCACGCTGAGGTTTTAGTTTAGAAAATACAGCTCATGCATTAACATCCTTTGTCATACAACAAAGACAAGTAGCATGCATGCTGTAGGTTGGCCATCACCGATCTAGTGCAAATTTTTGTTTATAACTTCTTAGGAAAGTGATTTTTCACCCAAAATTACCTTTGTTCCTTATTTATATTCCTTATGAATCATCAAATACATTAACAAATTTGTACGACTCAGTGCCTTAAAAATGAAGGAAAGAAGAATCAGTGAGATGACACAGAAGTGAAGCGGGCTGAGTACAATTGTCAGCTGTTCAGAGATCCCAGGCTTGGCTGGATTACAGGATCTCGGGACGTGCTGGGCCCAGGCCTCGGGTCTGCCCAAACTCACTGTGTGTCCTCAGGTCCCCTCAAGATTTAGATTTTTCCCTCCTTCCCTAATCTCCTTTAGAACTCCAAGACCTTTATCCATCCCAGGACCGTATTCAGTCTCTCTGGACTACACTTCCGCACTCACTTTTGTCCTGTGCCTCTACTTCTGCTGTACACTTAATTTTTCTTCTCATTGAATGAATTTTTTCTAAATAAAAATATGTCAGTAGAAAATGATGTTAAGTCTTGAAGTCTGAGAATTTAGAAGTCTTTAAATTTAGGGAATTTAAATGGAGTTTTACTTTGGGTAAGTTAATTTGTGAAATGACTCTGTTATGTTTTATAGACATTTTAAAATCAGGGTTAGAGACTGTAACTGACAACATTTCACACAGGTCTGATTGCTTACTTCGTTCTTTATCAGACATCTCCTTCTTGCGCTCTTGCTACCTAGGCTTTATTTTGGCTCCAGAGAAGCAGATATTTTCTCTCTGGTTTCCACGCAACATGTGCATTCTGGTGACCTATTGCACACATCATACGCTCAACACCTGAGAGTTCTTCTCCACATGCAGAACTACTTCATGTTGCCCGTATTTTCAACTAGTAGCTTTAACTTTCCCATATTTCCTTGTTTAGAAACAGAATGGAAGCACGTGCCTAAAACTGATGCTACATGTGAATCAGGCCACGACTAAAACATTCTCTCTCTCACACAAGGACTTCCCAGATCCTGCCCCTGTGTAGCCAGGCTGGACGGGCATTTTGCACACTCATGACTTCACTCAGAGTGGTAGACATGCCCTTAGTCCCCCAAACTGAAGCGATTTTTTTTAAAGACCACAGATGAGCTCCCCCCTTTTTTTTTTTGTACTTGTCTATATCAGTCAATGTATAAGATTTTATTGCACCAGGAAAAAATTCTTCATTTTCTTGAAAACACAGACACACACTAAGAAAAAAACAAAAACTCAGTTCCCCTTCCCATACAGAATTAGGAGAGAGGAAATCATTATTAAGACAGAAATGAATTCCCTCTTTTTCCTTTCATGAATATGTTAATAGATATTTTCATAAAATTAGACAAGAGAAGGCTTGGTCTGGGATGGAAAAGTTATACAATACATTAATCTGTCCTCTCAATCAAAGTGCGTGTGTGTTTCCATTCAGGGAGGCCCGGGTATACTTTCACTTGGCTGGACGTTAGATGGTAGAATGAAAACATAAGGACAAGGTTTTGTTGTTGAAGAGACTATCAAAATGAAAAAAAAAAATTCAACAAGGAGTTGCCTATGATAGGGATAATGTAACATAGACAGATATAATTGCTTTCTCCAAAATGTTCTATGTATTCTCCTTGTGAGTCAGTGAGTATGCTCTTGTTCACTCTGGCATGTAAACATCAAGGAAGTGCTACTGACATTATTTTGTGTGAATGAATGAAAACTGAAACGGCCTCTGTCCACATCTCCAACATATATGCCTAAAGGGATCACTGAGGGCTGCGAGAGGGACCTGGGCGTGCATTGGGTGCATTGCCCACTGGAGGGCCTTGCTGCAGCATGCCTTTGAAAGTTGAACTAACAAATACACTGGTACCTCCTCTCTACCTTTCAGATAAGGCAACATATCCAGGATGGCATGGGGAAATCAGACCCTCAACTCAGACTTCATCCTGCTGGGAATCTTCAATCACAGTCCTTTCCACACCTTCCTCTTCACCCTGGTCCTGGCCATCTTCATAGTGGCCTGCGTGGGGAACACAGTCATGGTCCTGCTCATCCTCCTGGACGCCCAGCTGCACACGCCCATGTACTTCCTCCTCAGCCAGCTCTCCCTCATGGACCTCATGCTGATCAGCACCACTGTGCCCAAGATGGCGGTCAACTTCCTGTCTGGCAGGAAATCCATCTCGCTGGCAGGCTGTGGGACCCAGATCTTCTTCTGTGTGTCCCTGCTTGGAGCCGAGTGTTTCCTGCTGGCTGCGATGGCCTACGACCGCTATGCTGCCATTTGCCAGCCTCTGAGGTACCCAGTGTTCATGAGCTGGAAACTCTGTGTGCTCTTGCCTGCTGCTTCCTGGATCTTGGGCTCTCTGGATGGCATCGTTGTCCTCACAGCTGCCCTGTCGTTCTCCTACTGCAATTCTCGGGACATTCACCACTTTTTCTGTGATGTCTCAGCCCTGCTACCTCTCTCCTGCACAGACACGACTGCATTCGAAAGGCTGATGTTCATCTGTTGCGTGGTGATGCTGATTTTGCCTGTTGCAGTCATCGTCACTTCCTACTCCTGTGTCCTTCGAGCCATCATCCACATGGGCTCCGGAGAAAGTCGCCGCAAAGCCTTCACCACCTGCTCCTCCCACCTGTCAGTGGTTGGGCTCTACTACGGGGCTGCCATGTTCATGTACATGCGACCAGTCTCCAAGCACAGCCCGGAGCAGGACAAGATGGTGTCCGCCTTCTACGCCATCCTCACGCCCATGCTGAACCCACTCATCTACAGCCTGAGGAACAGGGACGTCTCCAGGGGGCTTAAGAAGCTGCTGGGGAAAGGAAAGCTCCAGTGACTTCACAGAAATCCTCGGAAAGTCCACTCTTGGAGACAAGAGGAACGAGGATCACTTGCAGTGTCCTATCGAAGCTTGCTTTTTATTTTCCCTGCTTTTTCTTTACAAACTTAAGAGGTCTTTAACACGCTCTTGTGATGATGTACAATGCGCAGCCTTCTAACTGGTGGAGCTGAGGCAGTCAGAGACTGGGCACCTCTGCAAAAGTCAGATGCATCCTTGGGCCCTCGCTGTGAGTGGTAGTGGATTCTGGGGTTCCCAGGGCACATCTGAGGCTCTTTGCTTGTGTAGGAATAAGGGCCGGGATTGAGCCTGGCTTTGAACACACATCTCTGGCATGGAGCAGTAACCTGCCAGTGTGTCTTCAGGTTTACTGGTGTTCAAAACTTGTGTGGAATATTTTTATCTTGATTCTTTTTCTCTATTTCCCAACATTTAGAAGTGGGGAGTTAGTGTGGGCACTTCTTTAAGTTTCTGTGTAAAATAGCTCTGATAAATTGCATTTTAACATATATTTAATGTCAATTTTTAATGATTTTGGATAAAATATCTATTCCATTCAGCTGCACAGTTATCCTTGTGATCATGTTTATTTTATCCCTCATTCATTCAGTACCAAATCCTAGAGAAAGGGGATCAGGGGAAGGGGAGGACAGAGACCGGGATAGTTTCTGTAACTGATAACCTGTTCTTTTAAAACAAAATTCTAAATAAAATAATTTGTTTCAAATTAACTTTAAGCCACCCACACACTCTGATGTCAGGAGGAATCGAGGATTACACATGATAGGACTACACACTCAGCCCCTTTCATTTTTATTTTGAGATAGGATCCAAGTGGCCTTGAACTTGAATTTCTCTGGTTTCAGGCTCCTGAGAAGCTGTGATTACAGAAATGTGCTCCTCCCCAACCTGGCTAAACATATTTTCTTCAATACTTCTGATTTCTAACTCTGCCCAGATCAATTGTCTTAATGTCCCACAAGGGGGCTTCAGTTTATTGTTCCAATCTGTTGTCATATGATTGTAATCTGTGCTATCTAAATCCCTGTATTCTTGAGAATTGAAAACAGTCATTGCCTTTCTCATAGTAATTGACTTGATTTTTCTATGTTGTAATCCAACCTTTATTTGCTAATATTTTATCATTTTAAATTCATCAATGACATGATCATGGGGTATAAGTGATTGCTTAGGCAATTACAATTTTTTTTTTGCTTAGTAAAATATTCTCAATAATTTTTTATTTCAGTGAGATTTATGGATCAAAAATGCAACATTTAAATGAACAATTCAGTCATTTTGAACATATTCATAGCTTTGTGTAAGCATTAATACTATTCTATTTATAAGCGGTTTAATTGCTCTGAAAAGTAAGCTGATAGTTATTAGTATTTCTTTCCCATTCCCTCCTGCCCTTATTCTTGGCAATTGCTATTTCTTTTTCTGGTTTCCAAGTTTATCTTATTGTGTCATATTATCAGTACAGAACAGTGAGATTCATTTTGGAATACTGGTACATGCACATGATATATTTTTATTACTTTGTCCCCACAATCTGTCTCTCTCTCCTTCCCCTGATCCCTTCCTCAGCAAATAGTCTGCTTTCTTTCTATTTTATTGTCCTTCCTCTCTCCCTCTCCTTTTCTCTCTTTCTCTCTCTCCCCCACTATCTCTTTCAGATTGTTCATAGAAGATGTGTAATATTTAATGTGCTATGCCTGGTTCATTTCCCTCAGCATGATGGTCTCTAGCTCCCACCAATTCTCCTGTAAAAACATGGGCTTGATAGAGTATAAATACATAAATGAGCTGGGCCTGAGAAACCGACAGCAGGACATCAAGATGAAACTCCATGGCTTCCTGAGAAGGGCACATCAAACCTGCAAGTGAACTCTCTTCTTACCTAGGCTTACACCTTTTGATTCCACCCCTTGTCCCACTTCAGGACACAAACCCCAAGTTAAACGGTGGTGGCCCTGTTCCCAGCAAAGCCTCATTTACCTTCATTTGCACAGCCCAAGGGTTTGGGTCGCCATACTGGTTAACTGTGTGATGGTTAAGTTCACACCCTCCACACTCCGCTCCCTGAGTAGGGTAGAGACTCACAATGTGCTGGAAGGAAGCCCAATTGGTTACCACCACTGACTGTGTCCCAAATTCTAGGAAAGTAAAAGAAACCCCAGCCTGGACCTCACTGCAGCCCCTGTCTGGGCACCGGGTGTACGTTGGTCACTGCAGGGTAGCTGTGGCTCTGCCCACTTGGAGCTCTCCTGTGTCCCTCCCTGCTCCTGAAAGACAGCCTCTCCAGTGCAGCCTGTGCAGGAACCTCGGAGAATGTGGATGTTAAAGTCCATTCCTCACTGACCCCGAGCCCCATTCTGTGAACCTCCTCATGAATCTCCCAGAGGAGGACACAAGTCTGAGGCTGCCACGGGACGCAGCAACCCTGCTGGGCTGATCTCACTTCCCTGTAACAGTTTATTCTTCTGACCGTGGAAGGCTTTGGGCTTGTCCTGCACCGAGCTATTGGGCAGTCACTGTATCTCCTCTCTACACATCGGCCTATTTCACATGCTGCACAAGAGGAACGACACAGCATGTGGTCGTTTGTGAGTGGCTTCTTTCCCTTGGGGAAGGGCGTGTTGAAGGCTGTATCAGTACATCGTTGTTCTGTACAAATTAATAAGGTTGCTCTAAATGATTTCGCTACATTTGATTTGTTCACCTATTAATTAATGGATGTTTGGAGTATTTGCACATCTTCCCTGTTATGATTAATGTTTCTACAGACATTCCTATACAAGTTTTCATGTGGACACATTTTCAATTCCCTTGGGTGTGGGTGTTGAAAAGTAAGTTTGAAGCCGCACAGTAACTGTCTCTGACTTCTGAAAATGCTGCCAAACTGTTCTGCATGTTGGCTTCAGAAGTTTACATTTCCACAAACGAACGCTGCTGGCATGCTTTCAGCACTTCCAGGCCCTCACTTTTTGATATTTTCCACTCTAGATCACACCATTTTCTTTGTTGGGAAGTTTGCACCTCACTGTGATTTTATGGGCATCTCCCGAGTGACATAATGCTAAGCTGGGTGGTTATTTGTCTTTTTATTTTTTTTTAATTTCTTCATATCTGCTGGACACTAAACTTTTATCAGATGTATAACATGAATGCATTTTCTCCTATCCAGTGAGATATTTTCTCACTTATTGAAAGTCTTCTTTGCATTAAAAAATATATAATTTAATTAAATCTGACAGATTAATTTTAAGCGCTTACAGTTTTGATATGTCTTGAAAAATATTAATCTTAGATTTAGGCTATTTTAACAGCTTTGACACTTTTATTTATGTCACAGGCACTTTGAGATTGTTCTGTTGGAAAGCATGTACATGTCTAATTGCATTCTTTCTGTGTGGACACCCAGCTGTAACAGCACAGTCGACTAAGGATCTTATGCTCATCCTCTTATGTTATCAAAATATGCTTGACTCTGGATTTAGCCACGTATTTCTGGATGTTTATTTCCATTTCATGGATCTGTATGTCTATCTCATGATAATAGGTGCCTTGAGTATAAAGCTCTGACGGAAAGTAAGTCTTCCAACTTGGCCATTTCTGGCTGTCTCACTTACTATATTTCTCCTGAATTGCTACATAAATGTTAGCATCTTTTTGTAAATTTCCTATAAAAGTAACAGCTAGAATGTTTAGAAAGATGGCATTGTATCAACAGATTAATTTTGAGGGAATTTTTATTTTATCAATAGTTTTTCTAATTCATAAAAAACGGAGTATCTTTCTTGCAAATTTATTGGACCATTTGGTAGCTTGCTATATACCAATCTTTCATTATTTTATTTTTATTTATTGGCTAATATTTTATTACTTATGATACTATTATAATAAATTTGTCGTCCTAATTTTATTTTCTGGTTATTCATGGCAAGGTGAATGATTTTTCTGACGAGTGAATAACATTACATTTGCTGATGTTTCTGTCCTATACTTGATCCTCCCTTCTCCTTTCTAGGCCCTTTCCGTATTTACAGAAATCCTATTTATAAAGTTCAGTGATTATATCATTGGCTATTGACTCATCATTATTTACCTCCCAATTCATATGTTTCTGCTTGTGTCTTCTAAGTTACCCAGCAGGCTTTCTTTGGGGGTAACTTGAATGGACTCGGAAACGCCCACAGGTTAACAAAGCAGGGCCCCTCATGTGTCTTGGGTGACTCTCAGCACAGGAGAGGGAAGACACTGGATGTGGGAGCCTGCGGTCTGGTGGAATAAAAAGGGAAGGAGTCTGTGCGCCCAGTTTGGAAGATCTCGGGGCCTTCCTTCACCACCGGACATCAGGCTTGAGATTTTCTGTTTCTTCAGGCTTCCAAGGCAGACTCGCTGGGAGTTTCTGGCCCTTGTAACTAACATGATCGGCTGAATCACAGCGTGAGTTCGACCTTCATCCTCAGTGGTATCTGTACTTGAAGTCGGGCACTGACTGGAAAATGATGGGATCGCATAAATTGGAGCATGGATATTTCAGAGCAGCCTGATGAGGCTGGGAATACGGAGCTCCTAAGTCCCAACGGGATTACTTTGTCAGAGGAGGAGATTTTCCACCCTCAGTGGCACAGGCAACCCCATCCCAACTCCTGTGGTGTTGGCCGCTCTACCTCCTCCTGAGAAAACTAGTACTGTGCTGCTACGCAGAGGGGGGCTTTCCCCAGTGCCTGCACCAAGCAAGGCTGTGCTGGTGCTCTTCCGACCCATATTCAAGATTCACTGTGCCTCTGGGCCTAAAACCAGGCTCAAATCTCCAAAGGCTCCTTAGGGTACCTGCGAGGAGGCTTCCATACTCTCAAGGAGCTTGAGTTTTCTCATTCACATACCAGAGAGCCAGGAAATAGGCATGGGAACAGGTAATGGTGGAAGGAGCAAAAATATGGAACTGGATAGAACTTTTGATGTGGTCCCAGTAAGCAAGGGTTCTG